CAGCAGTAATATATGGGCACATTTATGCCCATGAAGCTTTCCCTGGGGTCCTTGAGGCAGGCCTACTACTCTTCTGCAGAGCAGTTCTCTGGCCAAGCCACATTTCCATCCTATCCAAAATTCCCTTAGCTGACATTTGTCTAAATTCAGAATACAATTAATCAATTGTTCCATTTTTAAAAAGAGTAAAAACTTCAGTTTAGCAACAAAACAGCAGATTTACGTCTCTTGACACAACCAGTACCTTTCCATTTAAATGAAATTTATTTTTTTCTCTTTGAATGAAAATGTGTATAGAATGAAGTGTTAATTAGCACTGTCTACATTGTGATCCTGTGCACAGCTACCTGAGAATAAGGTTGCACTCAGAGGGCTGAAAAGCTACACCAGATGAGCAATCACCTGTAAAGTGACCCTTCTATTTGCTGCGGCATTGCTGCAGTCCAGCCCCCCCCCCCAAATAGCAACCTTATACAGTAGTCAGACCAAAAAGGTCCAGTATGGGCATGAATTGATACTGTGCTGGAGCACGTTTCCCTATACACTGTGTGATCATGAGCAAGTACATTACACTGGACCACTCCATAATTGGTCCAAAATGTGATCTATTTCCCCATGTGCTCACACCCCAAGTCCCACTGTACTTAGTAGATCTTATTTCAGCGTGGTCACATATACGGCAGCACTTTTAGACTATGAAGTTGTCAAGTGATGAGAAATTAAAGCAATAAAAATCTGCTTCAGGTCTGTCTAGTTGCAAGGAATTGGAATTACTGTACATGTAGGACTTTAGTAAAAGGAGAAATTTCAGGATGGAAAACTTTCTTTAAATCTGCATGATGAGGTAAACTTGCCAAAATGTCCTCTTCTATAGAAACTTCCCCAGGAATGGTACAGGAGCCCCGAATCCTTTCATATGCGGATACAATCTCTGTCTTAGAACAAAGAGTCTTTCCCGATCAGGAAAACAGACAGAAAATTACACCTCTGTGACACAGAACTATGATTACTTTTTAAGTGTTTCCCACCTTTCCTGTGAGACAACAGCACCTCTCCACAGTCTTCACTTTATCGTTTCAATCATGCAATCAAACAACATATCTGCATTCAAATAAGAGTTAAAACTTAAGTAAAAGAACCATTTTTCCTACATATTCTTTATTCTATTTTCAAGTAAAGGAAAACGAAAGGATTAAAATACAATGACTTCTAAGTACGTTTGTGTTTTAAAAGATCTAAATTGTAATTAATTTTTTCCAGTTTGGTAAATCCGCATGTGTATACTGTATATATATATATACATTATATATAAAAATATATATAATACAAAGAGGAAATGTAGAATTTTTGTTTTGTAAATGGAAAAACTGTCAAGATTCTCAGACTTGTTAATATTCCTCTTGACTGACAAATAAAATTATTTTATAAAATCTCGTTTTATTCCAGTATAGTGTCTGTACGGCTGATAATGAATTTTTCAGGAATGTCTACTAATTAATGTTGAACCGAGATTTTTAGAATGATATATTAATAAAATTCACTGACTGCAATGCTGACATCTGCAATAGCAGAAATTAACAGGAGGAGACAAATTCAGGAGAGTTGGGGGCCAAATGCCTTTTTTTGTGATGTTTAAAATACAAAAACAGAAAGTAAAAGTAACTATAAGGACCTTAATGTCAAAAGCTGCTAGCAGTCTGGAACTGAAATGGACCATTTTCTGTGAGAACAAAACAAATAAGCTTTCCTAGGGAAGTCTTGATGACCTAGTGGCGGGCAAAATTATCCCTGTGAACTTCCCTTTGCCCACCTCTCAGATAAATGATGTTAGCTAACAGATTTATTTGAGTAACCAGTGGGTAACTCATCTTCAACTTTATTAAAGCCCTCTGTGCTGTGTCACTCGGTTGGCAAGCCAATGGATACGTTGCTTACCAATAAATGAAAGAAAAATACAGCTTTCTTCTGCTCTTTACAGAGGGAGTGACAGTACAGGACATGGAGGGTGTTTTTTTCCCCCTCAACAATCCAGCACTGTTTCAGTTTGCTCATAGAAGCCTTCACCACTAGCTGTGCTTGCCAGGGTTGGTCCCCAGGCTGGAAACTACTACCCTGGCAGGTGGATCAAAAGATCACTCTAAATCTCAGACCGCACTTTCAAGTGACCCTTTCTAGCCTGATCCCACCTGAGAAAACTTCATTGTCTATTCACACCTTTCAACTCCTTGTTAATTCTTTGGAATTACATGGGAACTAAACTGACACACCATTTTCATTAACTTGTCACGCTGAGAGGCAACAATGATGCCTGCGAATTTCCTTCACAGCGATCTAACTGGCTCTCCACCCTGCGCTCCTTAATGCCTCCGCTGAAGAGGGCAAAGTTTAAGAAGCAAAGTTTGGAGGCATATGGAATCCCCTTTCCCTCATAACCAGTTTTCCTTCCAGAGGAGAGGAAAAGGGAATGTCACATATACTCCTGCATTTGGTATAGACAGGAAATCATTAGGTGAGCAAGATTATTGACTCAGAATTTGTTGCTGACTCAGACTTGGGCAGGTTGAAGTCTTTCTTCAAAGCTATAGCCTATACAGTGGGGTCTCTACTTAAGAACTTAATCCGTATTGGAAGGTGGTTCTCAAGTTGAAAAGTTCTTATGTTGAATCTGCATTTCCCATAGGAATGCATTGAAAACCATTTAATCCTTATCTGCTCTTTTCCGTCCATAGAAACTACAGTGGAACCTCTACTTAAGAACTTAATCGGTTTTGGAATGGTGTTCTTAAGTTGAAACGTTCTTAAGTTGAAGCAAAATTTCCTATAGGAATGGACTGAAAACCAATTAATCCGTTCTGGCTGTTTTTTTGTTATGTAGAGGTGGGTTCGTACATTGAAGCATTAGTTCCCATAGGAACTAATGCAAAGCTGGTTAATACGTACTCTACCCCTAGGGGGAGAATTTTTTTTTAACCTAAGATGACCTAAAGTTAAAAAAAGAGCAGGAAAGGTTTTTTTTTTCCTGTTCTTATCTTGGATTTCTGTTCTCAAGTAGAAGCAAAATTTAGCAAATGGAGCTGTTCTTAAGTTGGATTGTTCTTAAGTAGGGACGTTCTTAAGTAGAGACCCCACTGTACTGGAAGACGAGGTCCCCAAGAGTCTGAGCTGCTTCTGGATTTCCCTTTTCAGCTCACATTAGACATGTCCTGTGCAGTGGTGGTTTCTGCCATCTCCCTATGTAGAAAATCTCTTTCTACTTCCAGTCCTCCTGATCTTGCCGCTTGGTCCCATTCTCTGGGTCGAGGGCTAGGTTTGGGAGATTCTGAGCCCTCTTCCCCAGAAATGGTACCTTTGTTCCATCCCAGAGTAAGGTATGCGGACTGCAAATACATCTAGCAATCGCTGTGCTCCTATATAAGCAATTAAAGCAGAGGAAAGCTTTAATGAAGTGGGGATTAAACACATTTGGAGCACAGTACTTGAGTCATTTTGAGGAGAAAGGTGCGGTAAAATATTTAAATTAAAGTAAATAAGTAGACAGACAGACAGAGAGACAGAGAGACAGACAGATATAGATAGATAGATAGATAGATAGATAGATAGATAGATAGATAGATAGATAGATAGATAGACAGACAGACAGACAGATAGATCCTTTGGATGCTATTACATCACTATCATTTACACCTCTACTCAGAAATAAGTTCCACTGAGTTCAGTGGGGCCTACTGTTGGGTAAAGAGGTACGTATAGCTTTGTAGCCTTAATTAAGAGTATTTAATTAGTATGGGTAAGGATGGGCATTCTTGAGGGCAATGAAATTCTGTTAGTGGGTTGTTGTTTTCTTTCCTGGTCGCGAATGTGCAGGCTCCAAACTCATCTCCCTTCCTTGCTTCCTTGGTCGCCTCTGGGCTAGCTGAATCTGCACCCTGGTAAACGGTTCCCGGTAGTAGCGACGAGGGTATGTGAGGCCTCTAAACAGTAGGAAGCTATCTAAATGTTTAGCCTTGCACCTGCATTTTTAGTCAGGTAGTCAGAGGTTTGTTTTTTGTAATTATTATTTATTTGGTCGATTGGTTTTGATAGCGGCCCATTAGCGTGCCTCCACTGCTCTGGGCGGTTCGCAGAATAAGACATTAACAAATTGACGGAGCCCTGGGACTCCCCCTCAGGTGGATCTCGGCCACCTGAAGCAAGCCATGCTAAGGGCGTCTGGAATTATAGAAAGCATCAGTGTCTGCTGCATAATTAGCTCATTAAAAATACGATTAAAACAGACGCATGCCAGCCTCGGTGCCTTCGGAGTCGCTTGGCACAACAGTGAAAAACGGTGTGACGACGAGCTTTTTTTTTCCCGGCAGCAAGACTCGACAAGCTAAACGGGAAGCGAGACAAGCACCTGCGCCGCCATTTTCAACCCATGGTCTGGAGCGCCACCTACTGACCAAAATAAAAGCCTAAAATCCCTGTGTGTTTAGGAACGCAATACAATCCTTTACGTTTCACGTAACATCTAACGTGTTCCTTCAAATCCAGTTTAGAGCTTGGTATTTGAAGCCAATTAAGGGTTACCTAAGCGGACCGCTTTCGTTGCCCCCTCTGCCGTCCTAAAAAAGCCTCAACAGGGCTTGTTTTATCAATTTAAGTCGATATTATCAGTGGATAGCCTTCGTTTTGGGAGACTTTCCACACAATAACAACCAGCATCACTTCCAGTAGATCGGCCGTGATTCCCACACGCCGGCCAACAGCTGGGACAAATGCAAGGAAAGACAAAAGGCTCCAAACACTCTCTCTTTGACCGCCCGTGGAAATCGCCTTTGAGAAAGAGGCGGGGCCTGGTGGGTTAACGGCCAGGTGAATGGTCGGATGGATTGCGGTGAACGCGGTCTTGGATGATGATTGGGTAATAGAGGCTGCCTGTCAAAAAGCCGGGAAGTCATTTCTTTCCCCACAGCCTCAAAAGGTGCCAGCTGTGGTGGGTTGTGCGGGGGTCTTGTTTGTGGGTCCAGGGAGAAGCTGGGAGACAACGAGTGGGATATTTACGAGGAAATCCCGAGAGGGGAGATGGGCAGGAACGGAGGCTTTCTCTCCCTTTTGCCGTGACGTCCAATGGGAACCTTTGCTTTTAGTTTCTGGAAGGCGGTGATCGCGTTAATGGAATTACTATTAAGAGGAGCTGTGTGTGCCCCAAGGATAAGGGGTTGATCATTTCATTACACACAGGTGCATATAATCCAGAGGGCAAATCCTGTGGTCTGCAGACTTGTTCGGCTGCAGGTACCTGGAGTCCCCCCCACACACACACACACACACTAGAATCTCCCCAAGTGCTAGTCCTTTGCTTGCTGCTGTTTGCCTTCTTTCAGAAACAGGTAGATTTGCACCATACAGTATTTTATGAACTTCCCAGGACATGGTTGTAACCATATTGTAAAAATTTCTATGGGACTGATTCTTCTGTGAAGCAACATTTACTGAGATTAACAACAGTCCCTTTGGTAACCTTTTGCCCAGTGTATGGTGTGAGTTTGATATTCTTCAGAACAGCAACTTTTGAACTTGACTATGGAAATTGTAGAAAGGTTTTGTTTACCTCCTGCAACCACTTGGCAAGCTGGCCCCCAAGTTTCATTTCTGCAAATCTCAATGGATTGCTGCTTTCTTTCTTTTGTGTTGTTGGGGATGTGAAGCTTGTGGACCAGGTTTGCCCAGCTTCAGGCCCTCCAGATTTCCAGACTGCAGTTCCCACCTTCCCTTCCTGGTTGGGGCTACTAACTGTTGATGTTCTAGTTCTAAACATAAGAGTGAGCCACAGTTTCCCTACCTTTGTCTTGAACTGTCATGGATTCAGGCCGTGTATTCTTACTGCTGTTTTACTCTTGTAGGCAGCACAGCTGTGGAGGGAGGAAAAACAAACAGAAGATGGACTGGATAAAATTGCGTTCCTATTCCAGGAAGAGCCGGGCTGAAAAGAATGTACACTGTGCTTCTCCTCTGCCAGCTGTGCCTGCATCTGCAGGCAGAATGAAAGCTAAAGCCAAAGGACGTACTGACGCTTATGTCAAAAGTAAATCTTTCTGTCCCATGCAATTAGTCCTCACTATCCAGTATGGCTGGATTACAATATTTGTTGTTTCTTTGTGCCTATCAAAATCCTAGACATTCTTTTATTTACTAATTGGTGTGTAAGTAATGTGTAGGAGTGAGAATGTGTTTCTAGTTTAGCCAAAATATAAATGAGTTTATGTTGTGAAACAGTGGGAAGAGCGTGGGGTGTTTATGAATGTGTTTGGGTCCTTACCAACAACATCCTTTCAGAGTCATATTTATTTAAAGACATGTTCATTCAAAGCAAATCTGATCCCTGCTGCTATTTTCCAATAAGCAAGATAGAAAGTCTGTCAGTGTTATTATAGAGCAGGTACCTGGATTGTTGTTCCTGTCCTTTGCAAATCACAGGTAAAGGAATCAGGTCGATTCCCTGTAATTTTGGGAAGAAAAGTTTTTTTTTACATTGAGAAATGTATGAAGCATCTTTGATGGGTGTGGAACTGTGTTGGAATGAAAAAGTTATTACATTCTTGATTCCTCCTTTCAGATATAGAACGAATTATGTCCTAGAGGGATGCTGTGTAAGGTGTGATGAGGTTATATACCCTACCACTTGGATGGCCTTGGCTAAACTGCATAGTCTCAGAGCACCGCCAGAAGAAGTGAAACCTAAACTATGTCTGACTGCTTCGTATATGGAAATTCCTAGGAGAGTCCCCATAGTTTGACTTGGCAGTACAAAGTTATTATTATGTCTTGGGTACGGAACCTTTGGCCTTCCAGATTGTCTGGACTTCCACCCGCCATGGTCAATGATAGTGGAATTGGTAGTATAAAAACATCTGGAGGGCCAAAGGCTCCCCACCCCAGCTTGTTCTGTGTTTGCTTTATTTGTAGCTAATGTAGCTTGTAAAAGTCATTATGCAGCTCTAAAGCCCCACATGTAATCTATGAAATTTCCAACAGACATGGCAGATTTAATGGCTGATAAGGGAATTTATTGATTTTCTACACTGAGATCTGTTGATACAAGGTAGATTAGAACTATTTCAATAAAGTGAACAGGACCTACACCTGCTGTCCAATGTGATCGTTCCGAGAACTGCAGGGCTAAATTTCTATCCCTGATGCATTTTTGTACACTTTTCGTGCTCAGACAGCTTGTCCTGCACGATAACTGAGAATTGGGGGATTGTAAAGGGGAGGGGGGAAGTGCTATTTTCCTCTTTCTTTCAGAAAGAGGAAAATAGCAGAAGACAGAGATGTAGTGCATCCCTATGCTTGCTTACTAGAAAGTATATACATACTACAGTATCCCTGTTGTTCAACTGGTTTTTTAACTGAGATACACCCAAGACCTTGTCCATCAGCTGCAGCAAGTTATGCACACTTTGTGTGAACACCAATAGAATTCTGGCCATAGATGCAGGCTATATAACATGCTTTACAGAACAGAACAAATGCCTCTCAGATACTACTGAAAGCTCATTACTATAGGGCCAGCTGGGGAGGAGCTTCCCGGCTACTAATAGTGTCAGGGTTGGGGCAGCAGAGTCCTCACCTTCTGGACATGGAACTAAAACAGAGTTGCTGGAGCTGCCCTTTTGGCGAGAATGGCATCACTGATCAGCCAATGCTGGAAGCCTTTCCAGGTACATTGGGACAGACCAGCCTGCAAAATTGCTTTTGCCTGGCAGCAACTTAGTTTTTTACTGCATGTCGAGTGAACAAGGACTCTTAGCTGCTACTCTGACGCTGGTGGTATCGGTAGCCAGGAAGCCTCCTGGCAATGGTGGACCAGTAGTTGCTCCTGTTCTGCTTTAATGCAAGGAATCTCATTAAATCGGAATGTGTTTCCAGAGGTTTCATGCCTGTTTGCAAATAACCACAGTAAAAAAAAGTTTACTGCGGGTTATCTGCAAACATGTAGTCCAGTGATAATGTCCATGTCCACAAATAGCAGATTTGCAGCACAGCCCTATCCACAGTTACATAAACCCAGTCCAGTTAATGTATATTTGGGGAAAGGGAATCTTGTTTTTAATGGGCTTAGTACTATGTAAGTGGAGTCTGGTCTCTCTCTCACATACCCCCTGGGACCTTTTTTGTTGTTTAGTCATGTCTGACTTTTCTTGACCCCATGGACCAGAGCACGCCAGGGCCTCCTGTCTTCCACTGGCTCCCAGAGTTTGGTCAAATTAATTTTGGTCGCTTCAATGACACTATCCAACCATCTCATCCTCTGTTGTCCCCCACTCGCCCAACATCAGGGCCTTTTCCAGGGAGTGTTCTCTTCTCATGAGATGGCCAGAGTATTGGAGCCTCTGTCCTTCCAATGAGCACTCGTGGTTGATTTCCTTCAAAATGGATAGGTTTGCTCTCCTTGTAGTCCAGGGAACTCTCAAGAGTCTCCTCCAGCACCACAATTCAAAAGCACCAATTCTTCGGCGGTCAGCCTTCTTTATGGTCCAGCTCTCACTTCCATACATCACTACAGGAAAACCCATAGCTTTGACTATGCAGACATTTGTTGGCAAGGTGATGTCCCTGCTTTTAAAGATGCTGTCAAGGTTTGTCATCGCTTTCCTCCCAAGAAGCAGGCATCTTTTAATTTTGTGGCTGTTGTCACCATCTGCAGTGATCATGGAGCCCAAGAAGGTAAAATCTATCACTGCCTCCATATCTTCCCCTTCTATTTGCCAGGATGTGATGGGACCAGTGGCCATGATCTTAGTTTTTTTGATGTTGAGCTTCAGACCATTGTTTACACTCCTCTTTCACCCTCATTAAGAGGTTCTTTAATTCCTCCTCACTTTCTGCAATCAGAGTGGTATCATCTGCATATCTGAGGTTGTTGATATTTCTTCCGACAATCTTAATTCTGGCTTGGGATTCCTCCAGTCATGCCTTTTGCATGATGTATTCTGCATATAAGTTAAATAAGCAGGGAGACAATATACAGCCTTGGCGTACTCTTTTCCCAATTTTGAACCATTCAGTTGTTCCATATCCAGTTCTAACTGTTGATTCCTATCCCACATATAGATTTCTCAGGTGATAGATAAGGTGGTCAGGCACTCCTATTTCTTTAAGAACTTGCCATAGTTTGTTGTGGCCCACCCAGTCAAACGTTTTTGTGTAGTCAATGAAGCAGAAGTAGATATTTTTCTGGAACTCTCTGGCTTTCTCCATGATCCAGCGCATGTTAGCAATTTGGTCCCTAGTTCCTCTGCCTCTTTGAAATCCAGGTTATGCTTCTGGGAGTTCTCGGCCCACATACTGCTGTCCCTACTTCAGCATTCCAGTCCACAATAATGACAAGAACATTTTTCTTTGGTGTCAGTTCTAGAAGGTGTTGTAAGTCTTCATAGAATTGGTCAGTTTCAGCCTCTTCAGCATTGGTGGTTGGTGCATGAACTTGGATTACTGTGATGTTGCAAGGTCTGCCTTGGATTCGTATTGAAATAAATCATTCTATCATTTTTGAGATTGTATCCCAGTCCAGCTTTATCCACTCTTTTGTTGACTATGAGGGCTACTCCATTTCTTCTACGGGATTCTTGCCCAAAGTAGTAGGTATGATAACCATCTGCATTGAAATTGCCCATTCCCGTCCATCTCCTTTTTGACCACATCCAGCTCACCAAGGTTCATAGATCTTACATTCCAGGTTCCTATGCAGTATTTTTCTTTGCAGCATCAGACTTTCCTTTCACTTCCAGGCATGTCCACAGCTGAGCGTCCTTTCAGCTTTGGCCCAAGCACTTCATTAGCTCTGGAGCTACTTGTACTGTCTGCCCCTTCGAAATCCAGCGTGTATTTCTGGGAGTTCTTGGTCCACATACTGCTGAAGCCTCACTTGTAGGATTTTGAGCATAACTTTGCTAGTGTGTGAAGTGAGTGCAATTGTACGGTAGTTGGAGCATTCTTTGCCGCTGCCCTTCTTTGGGAATGGGATGTAGACTGATCTTTTCCAGTCCTCTGGCCACTGCTGACATTTCCAAACTTGCTCGCATATTTCGTGTAGCAACTTAACAGTGCCATCTTTTAAGATTTTAAATAGTTTAACTGGAATGCCATCACCTCCAGTGCCCTTGTTGTTAGCCATGGTTTATAAGGCCCACTTGACTTCACTCTCCAGGATGTCTGCCCCAATGTCAGCAACCACACTATCTGGGTTGTCCGGGACATCCAGATCTTTCTGGTATAATTCCTCTGTGTATTCTTGCCACCTCTTCTTGATGTCTTCTGTTTCTGTGAGATCCCTACCATTTTTGTCCTTTATCACGTCCATCTTTGCGGGAATGGACAATTTCAATGCAGATGGTTCCTTTAATATCTCCAATTTTCTTGAACAGATCTCTGGTTTTTCCCTTTATATTATTTACCTCTCTTTCTTTGCACTGTTCATTTAAGAAGGCCCTCTTGTCTCTCCTTACTATTCTTTGGAAGTCAGCATTCAATTTTCTGTAACTTTCCCTATCTCCCTTGCATTTTGTTTCTCTTCTCTTCTCTGCTATTTGTAAGGCCTCGTTGGATAGCCACTTTGCTTTTTTGCATTTCCTTTTCTTTGGGATGTTTTTTGTTGCTGCCTCCTGTACAATGTTAGGAGCCTCCATCCATAGTTCTTCCGGCACTCTGTCCACCAAATCGAGTTCCTTAAATCTGTTCTTCACTTCCACTGTGTATTCATAAGGGATTTGGTTTAGATTATACCTGACTACCCCTTTCTTCAGTTTAAACTTGAGGTTTGCTATAAGAAGCTGATGATCAGAGCCACATTCAGCTCCAGGTCTTGTTTTTGCTGACTGTATAGAGCTTCTCTATCTTTGGCTACAGAGAATACTATCAGTCTTATTTTGGTATTTCACATCTGGTGATGTTTATATGTAGAGTTGCCTCTTGTGTTGTTGGAAAAGATTGTTTATGATGACCAGCTTGTTCTCTTGACAAAACTCTATTAGCTCTTGACCTGCTTCATTTTGAACTCCAATGCCAAACTTACCTGTTGTTCCT